AAAATTTGCCCCTCACGAAAATAAAATTATGGTGAAACAAAACCGGAAAAAAATACAGTTTCTGCGTACTTGGATGACAAAAATCCGTGGTAGAGACCGATTTAGCTCTACAGGTAGCCTCGATCTATGGTGCTTGAAATAAATATTGTAAATAATGTGGGATGGAAAAAAACGTAGAAATTAATTTGCTCACTTTTATTTTCAAAAATTATAAAAAGCAACTCGCACGCAACCAGCAGTATCGAGAGCCATAGCCAAAGAGAAACGTCATCTATCATCCGTCACCTACATCCTTCTCTCTCACACTTCATCGTTCAGCAGAAGCATATCGTTCACTCCGTTCACCATCCTACAATAATATGTATAAATGTAAATTTACAAAGAGCATCCCTTAGAGTTTCTTGCTTATTCTTCTCAGGGAAACTTGCCTTACGAATTAGCAGCAGAGTTTAATCAATAGGACGATTTCAAGTGTAATTATTTGCTTACCTATGAAATAAAGATTTTAACTTTGATTTGGACTTTATAACATTTTATAATGAATTGTAAGGAACTTGTATTGGAATAAAACTATGTACATAATATGTCATTTTCAAAATATCTTCATCTTTGTATATGGCAAATGAATAGGAGAGAGAGTAATCTTTCTTTGTTATACTAAATATCAAATCCTTCTAAAACAATTACCCGACCGAATTAGAATTTATCCTAGGTTAAAAATACCAAGAACAAACCAGAGCTTACAAAGAAGCAGGAAGCAAAAAAGCAGAACTATGTCAGGAACTTAGCAAGTGGACAGTCACAGACTCTGACTACACCAGGCGTGTGGAAACATTGTACGGGGCAATACCGTTCATATTATACATTTAAGTAGTTATTTTATATGACATCAAGTGACGGAACGAACAAGTCGTGCGCCTAATGGTAAGCAATACGCCTATCCATAACAATTGCAGATCCACTCAGAGCGTTAAAACACAAAGATCTGATGGGCACTGCCACTGCACCCGTCATCCTGAGACACAGGTTGATAAATCTCATGTGCCTGTAATTTCTCCAACACCCTCACCTTCAAAACCTTGGTTACTGCTTGGTGGCAGAAATAGGCAAGGTGGCAGTACTTCCCTGGACGAACACTTTTACAAGGAGCTCTACTGCAAAAAAATATTTTTAGTTAACAATCAGCCATCGCACAGTGTACTTATTAGTTGTAATTGAGAACTAATAAACATTATTAACAGTTATCATACTATCATTTATAAGTGTATGACACACCGCACAGACGTGATAACATTATCATGCATCATCGCCATATTCCTTAATTTAACCTATTCTGTGGTGTCGGCGTCGTAAGTCTACTTCGTATACAAGTCGACTTTCATACAATCCACCCATCTTTGGTTTCTCATCAAAACGTAACGTACATTAAAGTATATTAACGTACGTATACTGTTAGAAATATAAAAATGTACTCATCGCAGAATATATGGAGCTAACCAACGTGCAATCTACTTTATGTTAGTACCTGGGTGAATTTTTATGCGCCCGGAATAAATTGTCTGGACTACGTGTGTGGAATAGGACGTATTTTAAACTGGACTAGCAAACGCATGTAGATAAAATTGTACACAGATGGATAAACTATGAAACATTAATGATAAAATCCTACAGTTAAAGATTATATAAAACATGATTATTTTTTTATATTTTTATTATTTCGAAAGTATTTTGTACATATTTATATCTTTTAGTTCTGCTACTTTACTTTATATTTTAAATTATTGTTTATATTAGTGATGATCATATTATACCTTGACATTATAAGTATTTTAAATTGCAATATTGTGACATTGATAAT